TCACAGAGACTTGGTCAAGGCCAATGCTCAATATACAGCACCAATAAAATGGTCAATGGAAGTTTCAGGAAGTACAAAGCCAAAGAGTACAATTAAGAACTTTTCTGGCTTTTTTCTGTGAAAGGACCAGGGCTGCAGTTTACTAGAAAAACTGCAAAACTGAGCAGAGGTCCAAGAAGGATATTAACACAGAAAAGAAGTAGTGAAAGTTTGTATATTCAGCATATACAATAATGAGTGATCACAAAAAGGACACATCAGAAATTCTTCTCCCTGTACAGAGGCATTACTATCTCATAATTTATAAAAATCACATGTCTCTGAATCAATACACAGTCAGAATGTGGAATCCACTGTCTTGGGACATGGTTAAGATAAAAAAAAGAAGACTGAAAGATATTCATCTCAACATGATGGACTAGGATATCCAAACCCATAACAGTGTTGAAAACTGAGGCAATATTGGGTTAGAAGTGTTATAGATCTTATTCAGAACCAGCATGCATTGAGAAGCAGTGCAAAGATGACCAAATCCATAGTTACAGACATCATTTAATGTTAAGGAATTAGCTCCTGATTGAGAATGATGCAAAATCGTCAAGAAGCCTTCACCGATGTACCTGAGCTTTCTCCACAGACTCACTCCTTCGGAAACTTTTCTGTGATCTGTTGTGATCTTCTTCCTGCTCCTTCTGTAACATAAGATGACCTCCCTTACTCCACTCACAGTAAGGTCAAGCAGAAGCAGGTCTCCGGTGAAATGAGGAACTGGGCTTTAGTAGATGAGCACAACCTTTGATACAGCTCGTCTGCTGCTAGCCAAGCAGCCTACCTAAGACAATAGCCAGCGCACAACTCTATCACCAAGGCAGTCTCTCCGTGTTGCTCTCAGAGGGACAACGGGACCTTTCTGAGCCTTGCAGATTACTAACACCAGCACTTGTAGATTCACTGGGATACTAATGGATTGAGAAGTTGCAGAAGCAGACGCCACACCATTCTGGCAGGTGAGGTGACACAATATCTCTCTGTGCAAAAGGCATTTTTAAATGATGCAGAGACCAGTAGGAAAAGTGTGACCGTTTCAAGCCTTACCCATTGTTGTTTCTCTTTATCCCTTGACTCAGTTTCCTGTTTTTGCTGGAATTTCCTGAATAGTTAAAAGAAAATAAAGCCCTATGGTTAAACAGAATGCATGCTCTAACAAAGGGCTCAGTTCTGTTCCTGAGCATTATTTGCCCTAAGCCAAGAGTCCCCAGTGTGGAGCCTGCTAACACCTTTCCTGGTGCCACCCAAGTGTTTTCAGAAAGTGGGTCGGCCAGGTGGGGCTTCTGCCCAGCGGGACTTCCAACTGGCCACTGGAGATCTGATAGGCTGTGCAAATAAAAATAATGTTGTTCTGGTAGTAGCTGCCACTACATGATCGAGGTTTATAAGATTATGCATGGGAAAGAGCAGGTAGAGAAAGAGGTACTTTTCTCCCTTTCTCACAATACAAGAACTCGTGGGCACTCCATGAAATTGCTGAGCGGTCGGGTTAGAACGGATAAAAGGAAGTACTTCTTCACCCAAAGAGTGATTAACACTTGGAATTCACTGCCACAGGAAGTGGTGGCGGCTACAAGCATGGACGGCTTCAAAAGGGAATTAGATAAGCATATGGAGCAGAGGTCCATCAGTGGCTATTAGCCACAAGGTATAGCTAGGGGCTCTGGGGCAAGTGATGCTCTGTCATCTTGGTGCTTGGGGGGGGGTCAACAGTGGGAGGGCTTCTAATGTCCTGGCCCCACTGCTGGACCTCCTGATGGCACTGGTATTTCTGGCCACTGTGTGACACAGAGTGTTGGACGGGATGGCCCTTTGGCCTGATCCAACATTGGTGTCTCTTATGTTCTTTGGTTTTATTCTCTCTCTCACTGCTCTTTCCCAGTATATTTTAAAAAAACTACTCCTCTTGTCCCCCGCACTTGGGCTTATTTTGTGTATGGCTCTGCCTCTAATGGTAGCTAGGTTGTGGCTGCACCAACCATCTAGTGTCAGAATCCCAAAGGTGCCTACAGGATCAAACAGACCAGGGATCCTTACAGGCCTAAGTCAATCTAGCTTTCCACTGGCAAAAAGGTGAGCCTACACACTCCCCTTCCGTTCCCTGAAAACAACTGCCAGAACCACATTTTAAGTTTAGGATAATGGTGAGATCATGTAAACTCCCTCGGTTTCAGAAAGGAAAAGTGCACCTTCTTTGAAAGAGCTATGGAGGTATAAGTACTACCCAAACATTGATCAAGATTAATCCAAGAGAACAACTACTATTCCCAAGAAAAAGGATGCATTTCTGTAGAGCTGAGCATGTACATCCAGCATTCAGCCAGGTTCAAATCTCCATTTAATTATGAATTTAATTGGCTGGCTTGCATCACTGACCCCTGGCAGGAAGAGATAGATACAAATATAAACAGACATATTTGCAATCAAATAGTATTTCTGCAATTGTGTTGGGATTGGGGTGTGTGTGTTATGCGTGCACGTGAATATGTGCTTGCATGCCTGGAAGTCATGGCGACTTCTGGCGAGCCCTACTGGGTGCTTGGATGTTTTCCAGAGAGGTGGTTTGATGGCCTGCCTCTGCATCCCAAGCCCTGGATTCCTTGGAGGTCTCCCTTCCAATTACTTTCCAGGCCCTGCTTAGCTTCTGAGATCTGATGAAATCGGGCTTGCCTAAGCTATCCAGGTCAGGCCCTGCAATTGTATAGCTGATTGCTCCCCACTTCACTTAAGACCACAGTCCTGTTCACCATCATTCACTGCTGAGGTACATCTATCTAGCTGTAGTACCTTTGGTCCCTGCCCTTTCTCCAAGGAGCTCAGGGCAGCACACATGGTTCTCTTTTCCCATTTTATCCTACTCTGTGAGATAGGGTGTGCTGAGAAAGAATGAATGGAATACATATTTTTAATGCATACAGGATACACGGTTGTTCAGACTCAGAGATAACGATCACTACAAACGAAAAGATGTAGGAGTAACCTCTGTCGCATGTAAATTAAAGATTTAGGCAGGCAACAGAAAGCATGTGAACGTGCATTTGCTTCAGACAAAGCTTTTGCTGAATAAACTGAAGGAATGGAGCTCCTCTTTGCTGCTATACATATAAACCATTACAAAGCAGATCCATTCTAGAAGGCAGCACAAGATGTCTGCCTGTCAGTCTGCCTCACTAGTGTTGCTGGGAAACAAGTGAGAAGAGGCCTCAAAAGGTAAAAATCCCCCAACCGTCAAACCCTGCAGCTCTGCTGCTGAAGCAGAATCCTTCTGAAGGAAGGTATTCGCTTTAGCTCTTACTTCAACTTAGTAGTACTGGCCCACAGCAGATTCAAAATTTTAGAGTGCAAATTAACTGAGGCTGAAGTTAACATATATTCCAGATGAATGAGGAATGAGGTACATACAGAGAGACTGTAGTACATGTGTCAGAGAGATTGTGTGGGCTGTTGCATCAATCATTTCCTGTGGTTTTGTAACAACTGAATTCACAGAAACTGAGGCAAATAAATGAAAAACTCGTTCTGTATGCTCAGTTTCACAGGTCAAACGTACATCTCGCTCTTCGGGGCTTCCACAGTGGTTTCTGGGTGGAAGGAAAGGGGCAATGGGAAGGATGTGAGAGCTCAGAGACACCTAGGGGAAACTAGCCACAAGAAGAAGAAGAAGAGTTGCTTTTTATATCCTGCTTTATTCTACCCTAAGAAGTCTCAAAGCGGCTTCCTCTCCGCACAACAAGCACCTTGCAAGGTAGGTGGGGCTGAGAGAGTTCTGAAAGAACTGGGACTGGCCCAAGGTCAGCAGGCCTCATGTAGAGGAGTGGGGTGGATTCTGAATACTGTTGACAAAAAACATTTTGAGGCTGAATTGTTGCAGTGAGAAGACAGAAGCTGTGGAAATATCAGAAAAGAACCAACGCACATGAAAATAACAGAAACATAGAAGCATAGAATCACAGAGTTGGAAGGGGCCACACAGGCCACCTAGTCCAACCCCCTGCTCAATGCAGGGTCAGCCTAGAGCATCCCTGACAAGTGTTTGTCCAGCCGCTGCTTAAAGACTGTCAGTGAGGGGGAGTTCACCACCTCCCTAAACAGCTGATTCCACTGTTGCACAACTCTTACTGTGTCTTATGCACTTAACCACAGAGGTTTTAAGGACATAAAACATAATGCAATTCTTCCCACCAACAGGTCTGGCTTTTTAAAGTAAAAGCAGTCATACTTTCCATGATGCTCAGAAACACTTTGTAGACTCAGCTATAAGAAGAAGAAAAAGAGATTGGATTTATACCCGGCCCTTCACTCAGAGTCTCAGAGCGGCTTACAAACACCTTTCCCTTCCCCTCCCCACAACAGACACCCTGTGAGGTAGGTGGGGCTGAGAGAGCTCTTGAGAGAACAGCTCTGACAGAACTATGGCTTGCCCAAGGTCATCCAGCAGCTGCAAGTGGAGGAGTGAGGAATCAAACACAGTTCTCCCAGATTAGAGTCCACGCACTTAACCACTACACCAAACTGGCTACTGCGGCATTCATATGCAATTCTTACACAACATTCAAACACAGTTCCAAGAGCTGAGCACTCATATTTATTCAGCTCTTTTCATAAGTGGTTAATTCCAGTTAGTGTTTAATGCTTTAAGTTAAAAAAAATCTACTCACTTCTGAGCATCAATTTCATTGGCCCGCTCCTTAAACCTACGCTCGCGTAAAGTTGCTTCCTGCAACTCGCGTTCTCGCC